GGATTCGAACCCGCCACCTTAGGTGTATGTGGCTGGCGCCTTAGCCGCTTGAGCCACAGGCGCCGAGCCTCTCTCTCTCTCTTTCTTGACACATAATTTCACTTTATCACCCTTAGTGGAGTGCCATAGTTCACAGCAACCTCAACTCTTGGGCTTAAGCAATCCTCTTGCCTTAGCCTCCCAAGTAGGAGACTTTTCTTGGTAATGTTTGAGTCCAAGATAAAAGCTAAATGGGTTTAGTTGTACCCTGCTCAGATGCAGAGAAGTGGAATCCCAAGAGCAAAGAAACACAATCTGGAGTAAATGAATTTGAACACAAATATTCAAAGGCAAGGAATTCCGTCAGTCCGTATTTGGCACAAATAAGAGAACTTGGGTGCTGGGTGGAACTGGTTTTTTTCCATTGTTGACCTGGCAGAACCTTGTTATCTGAGGAGCTGAACAGGTTTGATGCTTTTATGAAGTAAGAAACAAAAAATTGGGCCAGCTAAAGGGTGATGACCACAGAAAAACAAAAGATGGAAATAATGGTATGCTTAATAGAATCAAAGGACTCATCCTTGCCCCCTCCCCCCAAAAGGAATCAAAGATCAAATAGGGAGAAGGAAGAGCAAGAAAGTGAAAAAACTGGGCAGACTTTAGTATACACATAAAACTGGCTTTACTGGCTGAATAATTCAGAGTGCTTCAAATGCCCTTTAGGTGCCCTGTGTAAAAGAAACTGAAGTAGATGAAGACAACATGACTGGCTAGGGGCGTGAGTCCTGGCAATGTATTTTTTGTTTGTTTGTTTTTTAAGAGACAGGGTCTTACTCTGTTGCCCAAACTGGAGTGCAGTGGCATGATCATAGTTCACTGCAACCTCCACATCCTGGGCTTAAGCCATCCAACCTCCTAAGTAGCTGGGACTACAGATGCATTCCACCATGACCAGCTTATTATTTTATTTTTGTAAATATGGAGTCTTACTATGTTACACAGTTTAGTCTCAAACTCCTAGGCTCAAGTGAGCCTCCTGCCTCAGCCTCCCAAAGTGCTAGGATTATAGGTGTGATCTGCATCCAGTTGTATTTGCTTTCAATTAGAAAAACTTGCTCTATTCTAAGAAAGTAAATTTATCTCTGTATTTCCTCAGTACCTCCTGGTTAGAAATAACAAAATGTATTTGCAGGATAACTGATGGGCAGTGCCTTCTACTAACTCTTACTTCTTCTTTTGGGAAGAATGAGAGAGTTATGTTAGGGAGACTGGGTACAAGTTGAAGTGTTCTGTCTGTTCATTTCAGGCCAGCAACTCACATCTGACCCACTGCTTAACCCTGGTATGTACCCAGCACACCTAGACCATTTGATTTCAGCTATTGGGAAGAAAGGGGCTCTTGTTTCTAAATTGCTTCTCTCAGCCAGCAATGGCCTCTCTCTGATACAGAAAGAAATACTCTGACTCATAGGCCATGTAACTAGGCCCTCTTCCTGGGCTGCACAGTGTTGCCTTGCAGAGAATTCTCCCTGCCCCCAAACTGTGGCTCTGATTATACCTAATCCAGTCTACAGACATCAAGGTCAGAGCAATGCTTTTTGTACTGTGCTGTGGAAACATCCTGTTCCATCAGATTCATTTGGCTCAAAGCACCTAAATCACTTCTTATTTTCTCTGCCTTCCCGTTATCCTGTAATTCCTCCCACCACAACCTCCCCAAAACAATTTCCAGTCCAACCTTGGACATAAGGAGTTCTGTTGTTCTACGCATCTCCTTTTGATTGATGTCTGAGTTGAGTCCCTCCTCCTACCCTAACTAGGAAACATACCTCCCTGTTTACACTTTGCTAATAGTTCCTGGTTGTCCTCTCAGGAAATATCAATGACCTTTTTGTGATAGGCTTAGAATCTGTTTTTCTAGTGTAAATACAATACATTTTTACCTTTCCCATTTCTCTTCTTTCCTTTACTGCACATCCTGGAGTCACATTCTCCCTGATCCTCAGTAGTGGACTGAATAGCTCCCCGCTGCACTGAGAAGTATCATTGTCTAGACTTCCTGGGTTCATCTTGTAAGCTCCTGGTAGTAGACTAGGTCCTATAATTTTGGATCCTCCAAAGTTTCTACTATCCTGCTTTGCAAAGTAAAGATTGGTTAGTAGGAGGTAAAGGAGAGGACCTCTGAGATCATAGGAACAGTGAGGTCTGGTTAGACTTCCGAATGCCCTGACATTCTGAAGGGGAAAGGCCAGTGGTTATGGTGAGAAAGAGCAAGGTAAAGAGTATAAAAGCATCCTGGCTAGAATTAAAAGCAAAACGAAACCAAGCCCTTAGCAAGAGAGGCTTTGGGAGAGAAAACTTTGAAATGTATTCAGAAGAGAGTCTTCAGGGCAGATCAAGTTTAAGAGCTATTGCTTGATAAGTAGTAACAAAGCTTTTGGTTTTCCCTGCTGTCATCTTTCCTTGGGGCATCATTGCTTGTCTTTTGTAAGGGCATTTTGAGATCCTTTACTTAAAAGTCTAATAGTAGAATTGCTGAAAACAATCTCAACTATAGTCTCCTTCCAGTGTCCTGTTAGAACACTGGTTAGAATCCCATACTGAATAATTGGCCATCCAAAATGGCAGCCGTGACTTTGCTATTCACTCTGTACTATGTCTTCTGTCCCTCTACTTCCTGCCCCACTGCCTTCACTTATACTAGTAGGAACATTGCCATTCTCTCATACTTGGCAGGAGCACCTTTAATCTGTAGGTATGCTATAAGCATGGATGTGTGTTTGTCTTCGTTGTGAATTTTTAGGATTTCTGTTTAGTAAATTTTGTGATCTCATTTTTTCTCCCTTTACTTTCCTGAGGGCATCAGAAAATCTAGACCCTATTCTAGATTTACTTTTAACATATTTAATTGCCCATTTTTTTCTATGAAAGGACAAGTCTGAAAAGGCATCATCAGCTAAGACTCTTTCCTTCTGTGCCCAGGGTCTAGTTTGTTTTGGTTTGGCCAGTTATGTTTTAATCTCATAAGGGCAGTAGGTCTAGACTAATGTAAAACTTACAGTGTAAGAAAAGAGAAACCTGTGAAGCCCTGTCTAAATTTGCTGCAAGTTTTCTCTGTTAGAACACTCCATAAACCATCTGAGTCTGGGGAAGGATGTCTTTTCTACTATAATCTCCACAGGGGTTCTGTAGGCAGAAGCAAACTCCTAGGGAGTTTACTTAACATACAGAACAAGCACAAAAGCATCACTACAGCATCCTGCCCATGCCAGTCTCACATCTCATAGTTGTACTTGATTTCTTCCTTCATTATTGAAAGATCTAAAAACAATGACTCGGCGCCTGTAGCTCAGCAGCTAGCATGCCAGCCACATACATTGGAGCTGGTGGGTTTGACTCCAGCCCGGGCCTGCCAAACAACAACGACAACTACAACCAAAAAATAGCTAGGCATTGTGGCAGGCACCTGTAGTTCCAGCTACTTGGGAGGCTGAGGCAAGAGGATTGCTTAAGCCTAAGAGTTTGAGGTTGCTATGAGCTGTGATGCCCTGGCACTCTACCCAGGGTGACAACTTGAGACTGTGTCTCAAAAAAATAAAATAAAATAAAATAAAAGTTCTAAAAACAAGAAAGCTGAATATTTTTTTTCTCAGAGAAAGCTTCCTGAAAGAGAGGGACTTTCTCTGTCCCTATTGCCACTCCACCCTGATGTATAGATAAGAATAGGGGCAGCTGGCCTAGGGACTCTGTTTTTGTTACCAAATCTTATCTTTGTGAGTGTTACCAGGAATAGTCATGGGTCTTCTTTTTGCCTTCCCTCATGCTTGAGGGTTTCTGTTCTTGTAGGGTCTGGAACCTTGGAAGATGTGCTACCCATCTAAAACAATGATAAAACAGGAAATGGGAAGTGGTCACATGTCTGAGTTCCAAAAGCACCCCCTTGGCCTACAGATTGAACACCAAAACTATTGGATCTAAGCCAGGCTAGAGGAAGCTAAAACTTCTGGATGGGCAGGCTCTGCCTTCCCTCTCCAAAACAAATGGAATCACACTATGTTCCTGATTTTCCCTTTCCTGTCTTTTATGATAAGCTTCCAAAATATTCTTGTTTCTCTTCTTTCCTGGAATTAAGTAGCAGCTTCTGGTGGAGGTTCTATCTGAGCTTAGATTGTGCTTTTCTCCCTCCCTTTTCTCTCATAAAGCAGTGGTAACTGTATTATACTTCTCTTTCTTTCTGTTTCTCTCCCACAGGAGAGGACTGAATCCTCCTCATCGTGTCAAGTCCATCTCCATGACAACTTTCACTGAGCCCGAAGTAATATTCCTGCAATCTCGTGGCAATGAGGTGAGCTACTACTGATGGAATGGTCAGAAGGCTGTATTTACCCCATCTATAGATGGAGCCTGGCCTCAAGCTTGTAGTATTGAGTATGTTGATTGAGTATGTAAGATTTCTTATCCTATATATATATGTATCTTTACAGACTCTTATTTATACACATTGTGAGAATCAAGGAAAGGAGCAATATCTCCATAGGGGGTACTCTCTGGAATCTGATGACTGGAAATTGCCATCCTTGGTGTTAGTAGTACCCTTAACTTACTGGTGATCAGCTTACTTAGAGGGTGCCATCAAGGGCCTCTGGAGGATGTCTTGGAAATTTTCTCTGACCCTATCCCCATCCAAAGTTAGTTCTCCATAATTCTCATGGTCCCCTATTTTCCTTTTTTAGTATATATCATAAGATGTCATTATAAATTTATTTTTACTTCTCTAAAAACTCTGAGGGCAGATTAGATTATAAACTGTATGAGGGTAGGGATCATGTCTGGTTTGTAGGTATACCCATATCCTAGCACTGTCCATGATCAATAAATATTTATTGATAAATAAATTGGAAATGGCATCATTTTTATTTCATGCTTTCTGCTCCAACACCTCTGTCACCTTTTAGGTTTGCAGGAAGATATGGCTAGGTCTGTTTGATGCTCGGACATCTTTAATACCAGATTCCAGGGATCCTCAGAAGGTGAAGGAGTTTCTCCAGGAAAAATATGAGAAGAAGAGATGGTAAGGAGAAGGAAAAGCAGTGACTATGAAGATGTGTTCAAAACATCTTTCATCTGACAGTCCAGTATCCAGAGTCCAATTTGGGCTTCTTACAAAGGCTAGATTTGGATTGGTTCTGTTCCATTCATTTAGTTAGGGCTAAATTCTGACTTCACAATAATAAATCTCCATGAAAGGACAACTTGTTCTCAGTTGCTAACCCTGCAGATTTGATGTTCCCTCTTTTGGGGTGACAGTGGACTGATTGGAATGGGAAGGTAGGCCTGTAGGAATTTACTTTTATAGCTCAGCTGATCTTGTACATGGAGGAGAGATGGCTGGAAGCGCATGTCTTATAGATTTTTGCTCTGACCCATCATTTCATGACTCTTAAGTATAGTCATCTCTTTATATCTGCAGGTTCTACATCCACAGATTCAACCAACCACAGATCAAAAATATTCAGAAAAGCTGGGCACGGTGGCTCATACCTGTAATGCTAGCACTCTGGGAAGCCAAGGCAGGTGGATAGCCTGAGCTCAGAAGTTTGAGACCAGTCCGAGCAAGAGTGAGACCCTATCTCTACTGAAAATAGAAAAACTAGCTTAGCATTGTAGTAATGCTCCCCTACTTGGGAGGCTGATGCAAGAGAGTTGCTTGAGCCCAAGAGTTTGAGGTTGCTGTGAGCTATGACGCCACGGCACTCTACTCAGGGCTCAGAGTAAGACTGTCTCAAAAAAAAAAAAAAATCAGAAAAAAATAACAATATAATAATAAAAAATAATACAGATTTTAAAATATAGTAACTATTTGTGTTACATTTGTATTGTATTAAAATTTTAAGTAATCTAGAGATTACTATACTATACTTTAAAATTTAAGTATACCGGAGCGGGCGGCGCCTATGGCTCTGTGAGTAGGGCGCTGGCCCCATATACCGAGGGCAGGGGGTTCAAACCTGGCCCCAGCCAAACTGCAACAAAAAATAGGTGGACATTGTGGCTGGCGCCTGTGGTCTCAGCTATTTGGGAGGCTGAGGCAAGAGAATCGCCTAGAGGTTGCTGTGAGCTGTGATGCGACCACATTCTACCAAGGGCAACAAAGTGAGACTCTGTCTCTAAAAAAAAATATATATATATATACATATATATATATGCAAAATAATAATAATAAAGTATACAGGAAGATGTATATAAGTGACATGAAATTACTTCACCATTTTATACAAGCAATTTAAACATCCTCTGATTTTGGTATCCTCTGGTGGAGATCTTGGAACCAATCTCCTGAGAATACCAAGAGACAACTGTATTCAGTTTTCCTGATGGAGAAAATAGCATTTCCATTCTTCTTTGCCTTTGCTTTCTGAAGGGTCGTTTTTCTGTTTAATCTCTGGGATGTGTACATATTGGGAGTAACTATAATATGGAGAAGAGAATACAGAGCACAAGAAGACTGATGTAAATAAAACCACATTTTGGAGTCCCTGCTAGGAATCTTTAGGATTAAGATGATATTTCCAGAGTAGGGAAAGGGGATTTTATTGAGAGTATCAGGAGCTAGCAGGATAGAAGTAAAGATAGTGAACAGTTAGAGGATGAGGTAGCAGACACCTTTTCTGTGTGACAGAGAATGAGGAATCTGAAAAAACACCCAGGAAATAAAAAGGGGGGCCTTGAGTAGGAAGCTGGACAATTAGATCATCTGTCCATCAGCACTATTGCATGTGTTATATTGCACATGTTATTGCTTGAAACCCAAATGGTTTGAGGTATCAAAAAAAGGCTGGGGAGAAGAAAGAAAAATAGGCACAAACCAGAGCAAACTGAATACTCCTGCTAAAAAAAAATAATCTTCAAGTGCCCAAAGGAATGCTCAAACTAGGCAGAATTTTTTTTTTTTTTTTTTTTTTGGAGAGAGAGAGAAAATCTTGCTCTTATTACCCTGGGCTAAAGTGCAGTGGCATCATCACAGCTCACTGCAACCTCCAAATCCTGGGCTCAAGCGATCCTCTTGCCTCAGACTCCCTAGTAGCTGCAACTATAAGCACATGCCATCACACCTGGTTAATTTTTCTATGTTTAGTAGAGACAGGGGTCTTGCTCTTGCTTAGGCTGGTCTTGAACTCCTGACCTCAAGCAATCCCCTAGCCTCAGCCTCCTAGAGTGCTAGGATTACAGGTGTGAGCCACCACACCTAGCCAAGATAGGCAGAATTTTGCTAAGTCATTAAATTATCTCCAGAAGGAGGTATTAATAGGAAAAAAAAACTGAGAAAGGACATTCACTCCTGTAACCTTTTTTTTACCCCCCCAAATCCTTAAGCTGAGCATGGTCCAAGGTTTTATCCCTCTCTGTACAGCATAATCATTCTTTCCCAAAGGTATGTCCCCCCAGACCAGATCAAGGGGCCCACCTATACCAAAGGCAGTACCTCCACCCCCGTCCAGGGCTCCCTCTCAGAAGGGAAGCCCCTTCGGACACTTCCTGGTGATCCTGTGCCAACTCTCTCAGCTGCTGCCTCCATCTCCAGCCAGGTAACAGTCAGATATGCCTTTCATGTTTATGTGTTTATGTTGAGGTTTGGGAGACAGGGGTGTCAGTTACCTATGTCTTGCATTTATCATCTTTGAATCTCCTATATTTTGGAAGACAGAACCCAACAGGAAGTGATATTTAAGGAAGTCAGAGTATTGACTGCATATCAGACCATTCCCTCTAAGGGAACATAGAAGGGGCCAGGACACTGCATCTAATACTTGGGAAAGATGAGGAGGTAACAGCTCTAGGAGTAATTTTAGACAACATTCCTGTATATCTCAGGGTTACCTCTGCTCATATATTCTAAAATGTATGGTTCTGGGAGCTGGCATACTGAGCAGACAAGGATGATATGAGGTATGAGAGGAGCTAAGACAACTTCTGCCTGGGAATCCTCTCAGTTAAGGACAGTTATTTGCTGTATGCTCTCTCTGCCTGCCTGCCTGGGGGAAGCCAGGGGAGTCATAGAAGGGCCTGAGTAATGTCTGGGATTCTAAGTGCTAAATGCAATTCCTTCTCCTCTAAGTCTGTCAGCCAGTCTCAAGCTCGGACATCCCAGGCCCGGAGCTCTCAGCTACCTTCGCACTCCTCTGTCAAGAAAGCCAGTACTGACCTGCTGGCTGACATCGGTGGAGACCCCTTTGCTACTCCTCCAGCAGCACCAGCTTTTGCTGCATTCCCAGCCTTTGGAGGTCAGTGGGACTTAGAGTGAGAACCTCCCTACAACTTATGTACATATGACACAAGAAATTCAACCCTTCAGGGTTAACCAAGTTTCCCATGCTTCTACATCTCTTGCTGCTTGTGGACATGATGGTTATTCTGAAGCAGCAAGGCTGGGGTCAAATAAGTACAGCAGGTTGTGCTTGTGGCTTTGACCATAAAGCATTACAGTTGGGGGCTCCTAGCACTTCCTTTTGGCACACTGGAAGTAGCCTTTTTTTTATTGCTTTTTCTATTAAAATGGGAGGAGGGGATTATCATGTGTTCTTTTCCCCTACCCACTTCAGTGATAGGCAATACAGGATTGAGCAAAGTGGTATCTCTTTTCCCTTTTTATTTTTTAAGCTCCTTTTTCTAAGAAAACATAATTTTTTCATATGATTCTGTTGCAAACTAGGCCCCGATAAAAATGTTAATGCCTCATGGAGTAGGATAAGAGATGACAGGGAGTAAACTTGGAGGCTTCTGGATATCCCTTTCCCCCACTGCCATCTCCCTCTAAAGAAGACCCTAAGCAAAGGCAGAAGTACCAGAAGAGCAGTCCTTACTCTTTAGATTGGTAGGCATATAGATGTACATTACAATTTCTATATATAACCTGTTATTTCCTCTACCTATAGGCCAGACACCTTCACATGGGGGCTTTGCCAACTTCGATGCCTTTGGCAGTAGCCCCAGCTCTTCTGCATTTGGAAGCATCCCTCCAACTGGCCAAGCCCCATTCCAGGCCCAGCCAACACCTGCAGGTAAACTCTGCCCCACTGGTTTCCTTTCTCTCTTCTAACTGCATCCAGTTGTCCACATTCATAACTCTTAAAAAAGGACATCCCTCCCCTTTTTTTTTTTTTTTTTTTTTTTTTGAGACAGAGCCTCAAGCTATCCCCCTGGGTAGAGTGCCATGGCATCACAGCTCACAGCAACCTCCAACTCCTGGGTTCAAGCGAGTCTCCTGCCTCAGCCTCCCAAGTAGCTGGGACTACAGGCGCCCGCCACAACACCTGGCCATTTTTTTTGATGGCAGCCATCATTGTTGTTTGGCAGGCCTGGGCTGGGGATTCGAACCTGCCACCTTAGGTGTATGTGGCTGGTGCCTTAACCGCTTGAGCCACAGGCACCGAGCCATACCTCACCTTTCATTCACATCCTTACCTAAAGAACTATGCACAGGAGACATAAGCACAAAGAAAAGCATACCCAGGAAAGGATGAGAGTTGTCTGATACATTTTTGTCAGGAAGAGAGGGCTCTATTTTTTTTTCCACATAAGCAAAATTACTAAAATCATACCAGGAGCTATGCAGATTATACACTAGGAAATTTCTGACTAGGAAGTATAGAAGGCACAAGTCCTAGGAAATTTGAGAATGGACATGATTTTTTTTCTAAATTGTCTGCATGGTATACTGCCCAAAAGGGTCAAGATTCAAGATGGTATCCAGAAATCCTTACTCATCTCTCTAACAGCAAAGGCCTATAAATTTTATGCTATGTCAGTTAGCAATTGCAAGAGACTCTAAAGTTCTTCCTCAAGTATTTGGCTCCTCCCCAAGCTCCCAGACATCCAGTCTTCATAGCCTTTGGGCTGCCCTCTGCCTTTGGACATCCTGGACACAGGGAAGAGAAGCTGGAGCACTGTTCAGCCTAGCTGTCTTGGGAAAAGCCAGTGACTTACCCTCTGTCTTTCTCTCTTCCTCTACCCACCCTTTCCCTCCTCCACCTCACTGCCAGCCAGTCGGATGCTAACTGGAAGTTACAGCTTTGGTAAGTTATTCTTTCCACCTCACAGCCTACCCAAGGTGCTCTGATCATAGACTTTTGAGTTTAGAAGGAACTTTTAACATTTATAGTCATTTTTAAAATGAGGCAGTTAAGCAATTTGCCTAGTTGTGCAGCCCACAGAGATCAGAGCCCATACTTCTTGATTGTCACTATGCCTTTGCACTGTGCCACTGTGAGCTGGTGGTTGCTTTTTTTTTTTTTTGGTAGGGACAGAGTCTCACTTTATCGCCCTTGGTAGAGTGCTGTGGCATTACACAGTTCACAGCAACCTCCAACTCCCAGGCTTAGGTGATTCTCTTGCCTCAGACTCCCGAGCAGCTGGGGCCACAGGCGCCTGCCACAATACCTGGCTGTTTTTTTGTTGCACTTTGGCCGGGGCCAGGTTTGAACCCGCCACCCTTGGTACATGGGGCTGGCACCCTACCCACTGAGCCACAGGTGCTGCCCTGCTTTTGTTTTTATTTTAATTTTTTTGGATGGAAGCAGGAAAAGACATTTTATATTGATAAAAGTTAAGTTCACAAAAACATTCTCACAATGATGTCCTTAAATGATATCACCATAACCTGGAGATTCAAAACTGATTAGACACAATGAGAATGTAATGAGCCAATGGAATAGGAGATCATAATATACTCTCTCATAAGATTAACAGATAGATAGATAGACATAATATACTGTCTCACAAGATTAACAGATAGATAGATGGACAATAATAGTTTAATAAGTTTTATCTAATGTGAATAAAACTTTGTAACTATCAAACAGAATATATTTATTTTCAAACATATAACCTTTTTATAATTTAACCATATACTAGGAAACAAAATCTCCCATAAATTCTAACAAAAAACTGCATAGGTCACATTCTATATGATAAAATATATAAAGCTTGAAACAAATAAGAAGATGTAACACTAAAAACAGATAAAAGTTCATGTCCACAAAGTATTTGTAAAACATCTATAAATATAAAAAAAATAACATACAAGGGATTCAAGCAAGTAATATACTGAAAAAATATGAAAATATTCTCAACTTAATTGAAGACATGCAAGTTAGAATAATATAATTTTGTACATTCTATTGGCAAAAACGTTAAAGATTGATGATGTCCAACATTATGTGAGGAAATGGACCCTTTTGTGCACTGTTGGCAGAAGTATAAATTGGTACAGGAATATCCAATTTAGCAAGAAGTGGAAGCACTATGAAACAGCCTATACCATGTTTCCCCAAAAATAAGACAGTGTTTTATATTTATTTTTTCTCAAGAAGACACGCTAGGGCTTATTTTCAGAGGATGTTTTCCTCTCTGCACCAAAATGCATGGCTATGCAGCATATCTAGTAATTCAGATTACGTCCGTTACTAGGTCTTATTATCAGGGTAGGATTTATATTTAACAAATGCATAGAAATCCTGCTAGGGCTTATTTTGGGGGTAGGTTTTATTTTCAGGGAAACACGGTACAAGGTTGTTTAAAAATGGTCCCTTAAGAAATGCCTTCTTGGCTCGGCGCCTATAGCTCAACCGGCTAAGGCGCCAGCCACGTACACCTAAGGTGGCGGGTTCTAATCCCCAGCCCGGACCCGCCAAACAACAATGACGGCTGCAACCAAAAAAAAATGGCCGGGCGCTGTGGCGGGTGCCTGTGGTCCCAGCTACTTGGGAGGCGGAGGCAGGAGACTCGCTTGAGCCCAGGAGTTGGAGGTTGCTGTGAGCTGTAATGCCACGGCACTCTACCCAGGGGGGGAAAGCTTGAGGCTCTGTCTCAAAAAAAAAAAAAAAAAAAGAAATGCCTTCTTAGTACAATTAGTTGCTTTAAAGACAAAGCTTTCAGGGAAGACCCTGAGAGAAGGAAAGTCTCAGCCCCACAGACATCCCAGGCATTAAACCCTTTCTCCAGTAGCTGGTCCTCTCAAGAAGTAGTCAATCTACAGCTAAATCCAGAGCCAACCAACATTTAAGAGGATCCTGCCATTACTGGAGATTTGACGTATTATGAAAGGAAGAAAAGAGCTCCCCCTTTTTTTTTTTTTTGGCCTGGGCTGGGTTTGAACCTGCCACCGCCAGCATATGGGACGAGCGTCCTACCCTTTTGACCCATAGGCGCTGCCCAAGCTCCCTTTTGAAGTTGAGGAAAATAGCTCAACTAGGCCAGTGATATGACCAAAATTTAATGCTAAGTGGTAAACTGCATTCACTTTCCACTACACCTTGATCTTGTAGGTGTTCATGTGAGTGTGACATAAAGAACTATTAAGGCCAGGTACAGTGGTTCCTACAGTAATCCCAACGCTTTGGGAAGCTGAGGCAGGAGGATGACTTGGGGCCAGGGGTTCTAGACCAGCCTGGGCAATGTAGCAAGACCTTGTCTCTACAAAAAGTTAAAAAATGAGCCAGGCATGGTGGCATGTTCCTGGGATCCTGGCAATTCAGGAGGTGGGAGGATTGCTTGAGCCCAGGAGTTTGAGGCTACAGTGAGCTATGATTGTGTCACTGTACTCCAGCCTGTCAAAAAAAAAAAAAAAAAAACATTGAGTGTCAAGTAGGAAAGGAGATCTTGAGAGGCGGGTGTCTCTTCTGACAAGCCTGGTTTTATTTTTATATATCTGAGGGGGAGGATGCGGAAGGGTGGTTTTAAAAACTGTAACTGCTATAAGGCATGTGTACAAATCCAGCTGCATGGAGTGAGGCTCTGGAAGTGTATAAGAAGCATATGAAAATCAAACAAGAGCACGCAGGTATTCCAAGGAGCCACCCCCTCCTTTGTGAGAATGGGGATCTGTGCAGGGGGCTCAGCCACCTAGGTTAGGAACTGTTCTGCCCCCTAGTGTCCTCAGAAGATACAGCATGCGCTGTCACCCAGAGAAGCTCTGCTTCTCTTCCAGCCTGGTAGGGTTGAAGGCCTGTTCCTCTCTGGGGAAGCTCCTAGAACATGAAGGCTAGGTCAGTACTGAAGAATCTGACTCATCATAGGAAAGAACTGTGTTCTTCTGGAAATTCCCATATACTGTAATATGAGGTAATGGAGCAGGGGAAAGGCCAGGGCCTGGAGAATCAGTGCAAGATCCAGCACCACTCTGCTGGCCTTCCAGCCTGTCTTATATCCTGTGATTTGAAAGGACTGATGACCATGTATGCCCAGAGGTATTATTGTCTCACATGGAAAGGTTGTTCATCTGGAAAGCCCAGGCATTTGGGAAGGAGATGGCAGAGGAAAGCACTATCTTGGAAGTGCCGACACTTAGTGAGAAGAAACTAGCCCTGACAACCTGGCAGTAGGTAGACACTGGGCATTTTGTCTCTTCCCTGCTGGATTCTGAGCTTCTGCAACTTAGGGCCCAGTTTCCCCTTGTTTATGCTTAGTACCTGGCACATGGAGGATCCCCTTAAAAAAATAAAAACAGGGCAGCACCCATATCTCAGTGGGTAGGGCACCAGCCACATACACTGAGGCTGACAGGTTTGAATCTGGCCTTGGCCAGCTACAACAACAATGACAACTGCAACAACAACAACAAAAATAGCCAGGTTGTTGTGGTGGGCGCTTGTGGTCCCAGGTACTTGGAAGGCTGCGCAGGAGAATTGCTTGGGCCCAAGAGTTTGAGGTTGCTGTGAGCTATGTTACCATGGCACTCTACCCAGAGCGACAGCTTGAGACTCTGTCTCAAAAGAAAAAAAAATAAATAAAAAAAATAAAAACAGCCTTCAGAAAAGGAAGAGCAAGAAGATTCAGGTTCAGTTGTAGAGTATTCAGAAAAGCCCAATACTTAACTGACAAGAAATTAGGCTGTGGTCCTACAAAGCCAGGGAGCAAGGAAGATTTGAGAACCACCCTGGCTTTTCCTTTTCCTTGTCTTGTGTCTTTATTTTTTTCCTTGCCCTTTTTCTTCCTCTTAGCTCTCACAAAAAAGTAATCCCTCTTTTACAAATGCTACCCCCTCATCATTTCCACTTTCTGCAGCATTTCATCCTATCAGCTATCTCAACAGGACTTCACCTCTACTTCTTCCACCTCTGCTTATATATACCCTCTTCCTACAAAGGTGCTCAAGGTTTCTTATCCTACAAAATGTTTCCACAGCCTCATTCATGCTAGTCTCCAATGTCTCATTTTCTCTCTGCAGCCATCCCTCTAGCAAGAGGAGCCTGTGGCCTTCATTTATTCATTCTTTTTGTTTTTCTGTTTTCCCACTTTTTTTTTTTTTTTAGACAGAGTCTCACTATGTTGCCCTTGGTAGAGTGCTGTGGCATCACAGCTCACAGCAACCTCAAACTCTTGGGCTTAAGTGATTCTTTTGCCTCAGCCTCCCAAGTAGCTGGGACTATAGGCACCCACCACAGTGCCCACCTATCTTTTGTTGTTGTTGTTGTCATTGTGGTTTAGCAGTCCTGGGCCAGGTTTGAACCTACCAGCACCCTAACCACTGAGCTGTGGGCGCCGAGCCTGTTTTCCCACTTTTTAAACCATTTTATGGCATAATATGCTTACTATTCTATACCTTGATTTTTTTTTAACTTAATAGTACTATTAGATCTTTTTTTATATCAGTATACTAAGAGCTTCTTCATTCTTTTTTATAGCTCCATGATTATCTATTGTATATATTTTATTTAATCAGTCTCTACTGATACAAATTCAGGATGTTTCCAGTCTCCTGCTGTTAAACAGTGCTATAGTGATAACCCTTTATATGTATCATGGTTTGTATATTTGCAAGTTTTGCCTATAAGAAAATCCTAGCAGTGGAAATGGTCTAGTAGGGACACAGTTAGTACCAAAATAAACAAAAGCTTATTACTGCAAATATTCCAAGTGCTATGAAGGAAATAAGCAGGGTACTGTGGAAGGAAACCAGAGCCTAATTCACATCAGTGGGTCAGGGAAGGTCCATTCAAAGACTTGTTTCTTTTGAGACTGAAAGGTAAGTAGGAGCTAGCCAGCTAAGGTCATGGGCAGAGCCTCTTGTTGAAGGCAAAGACTTCAAGAGAGTTAGGGTAATATCTTGTTCACTTGTGTTTTAATCTGTGTCAGCCATCATGCGTTTCCTCTAAGACCTTTTCTTGCTTCTCTGACCTTAGAAGCAGTTTCTTGCATCATAGGCATGATAATCCCTCATGTTTGTGTTATACTTCACAAATTTCAATACCCTTTCATTTATCTCTAAGGGTCTTTACAACCATCCTACAAGAGGACTCAGAAGAGTGAGATGGTAGCAAGTGGTAGAGCTACAGCTAGAATCCAGTTTTCCGGATTCTGCCAATTCATATATTTATTCAGCAAGCAATTGTTGAGCACCATCATGTGGTAGACTCTAGGAAAAGTTTAACTTCCATAAGTGCATCTTCCAGCACTCAAAAAAAAAATAAAGCCTTTTTCCATTTGTTGTTTCATTTGACCCTCACAATAGCCCAGGATGGCCGACAGGGTCCTGACGATACAGATGAGACCTTGACACATAGATGAAGAGGCTTTCTTAAAATGGCAGGGACTCAGGCCTCTTTACATGAGATTAGATTGCTTGGAATTTCCAAGACTTTTGCCCCTTGGGCTATTTGTAAGGTCTCCCAAGGTCCTCTATGCTTTTTCTTGTTGGCTCTGAAGACAGGAAAAGCAGGAGAATATGGGAGGTGGCCTAGCCCCATGAACAGCCATGCCAAGCTCAGGGCATAAGGGTGGCCTCCCAAGAGGAGGTGGCTCAGTGGGGGGAAGGAATGGTACTGGCAGCTAGAAACTGATCATCAGCTCCACAGCCCAGGAGAGGCTTCTGAATGTGCTCAGGCCTTGCTATCCTTCAGACAGCTCCTCTGCCTGCCATTTCATGTGATGTCTCAATAAATGGAAATGCTGGTTTGAGGAAAAGACAAATGTTTTTATCTACTGAGGGAAAAAATGGGACATTTAAGCCAAATTAGAGCAGCAAGGAGGATGGCCTAACACAAGGGAGGGCTGCTTTTCACTCAACAGAGATAGCTTTGAGCACAGGGGAGATCAGGCTGGGCTGAGCTATCTCCTTGCCCAGAATCCTCAGTGGGAGACAAGCCCTGCTGAACTGGGTGGGCTCTGGGAAAATAGGTGGCTCAGAGAACCCACTGGGTACCGCTTATACCATCATTCCATTCCTCCTCCCCTGCACCACTAGCTCCATCTCCTTTCCTGCCCCTTCCATCCTGTCTCACCTCAGTATTCCCTGTTGTATTTCCGATGATTGCTCAGGGAGCAGCCAGGTGACTCCATTTGGTGCCACTCCCCTTGTACCTGCCAGTCAGCCAAACAGCCGTGCAGATATGGGCAGCTACCTGGGACCAGGGGTTTCAGCTGGAGGTATTCCTGGCAGGTAGGTGCGGACACTGGGTACTCTGCCTTGCCTTCCAGCCTAATCAGCACCTTCTGGCCCCTCTCCTCTCCTCCCTCTCACTCACCCTTCTCATCCTTGGAAGTGGTATGGGTTGGCTGTCTCCTGGTCCCTTGCTCAGCTTGGATCCTTGGTCCTAGACAATGTGCATGCTGACTTTTCTCCCCATATTGCAGCATCTTCGGGATGACCAGCCAGGTCCCCACGCTCCAGTCTGCTATGACTGGTGGCAGCAGCAGCACAGGGCTTGCCTTTGGAGGTGAGTCCTACCTATGGAGACCCAGAGAGGGGATCCAAAGCCAAGAAGAGACTGGGGACTCTGGAAAGGGAGGAAGGTGGAGAAAGATATGCACCAAGGGGTGGTGCCTGTGGCTCAAAGGAGTAGGGCACTGGCCCCATATACCAGAGGTGGTGGGTTCAAACCCAGCCCTGGCCAAAAACTGCAAAAAAAAAAAAAAAAGATATGTACCAAAATTTAGAGCAATACTCAGTCAACACAGAATTAAGCAAATAAGAAAATAAATACTTTTCTTCAACCTTTACCCTCCTATGCAGCCTTCACCAACCCATTTGCAGCCTCTGCTGCCCAGCCCCAGCTGCCTTCCACCAACCCATTCCAGCCCAATGGCTTGGCCCCAGGTAAGCCGCCATCATGATCCTCTACCCGGAGGTCACCTGCCCTGACCATGTGAGACTCTTCCAGGGTGCATATTCCCCTGCAGCTACTCCCTTAACCCCTTATCCCATGCTATCAGAAGTGGCAGAGAGCCCCAGTCATTCCCCTGCCCACTCATTGTCAGGCCACCTAGCACCTGAATCACAGAATCATATTTTAGAATTAGAAAGAAAAAAAAAAAAACAAACTGCTACTTACCTGAGACAAAGCTGAAGATTATTTTAGAGTTTTAGAACAACAGTGGCAGTGACTCTCCTATCTCCAAGCCACAGCAGTATCTCTCTGGGCACCTAGCTTCTCTTGGTTCTGTGCCCCAAACTTAAGCCACCTGAAACCACAGCCCTGTTCCCTGCCTTGTCAACCTGAGTTCTCTGGTCCCTCAATGTGGCCCTCCTCAGTGCTCCCTGAAACCTCCAGGCCAGGGAGAGAACAGAACAAGAGCTAAGAGATCTGGAGCTGACCACATGGCAGGCCCAGTGCCCAGTGGTTTATAGCATTGCTTAATTTCATAGCAGCCTTGGGAAATAGATATTCCCCCACTTTAGAGATGAGCAAACTGAGGCACAGATAGGATTAGAAATGTGCCTAGGTTTATGCGGTTTAGTAGGTAACAGGAATCTGGGCCCAATTCTGTGCCCATGAGTATCACCACTGTGCTCTTCTGGGTGGGGGAAGGGCAGGTTTGGTCCATATTTGAGAAGAATTCCATGGCTCCTTCAAGGTACTTCTACCAGGCACCATTTGTTAGGGGAAAAAAAAATCTATCCCATTTTTCCATCATGGAGGGATTTAGGAAAAACAGTTCTCCAACCCACCTTGTAGAAGTCCTCTTGAACTTCGTGTTTCCCATTCCACAGGGCCTGGCTTTGGGATGAGCAGTGCTGGGCCTGGCTTTCCCCAGACAGTACAACCCTCTGGGGCAGCACCTTTTGCCAGCACCTTTCCACCACCGATATTTTCACCACAAAGCTCGCTGACTCCACAGCAGAATGGTAAGAGATGCGCCCTCCTTTCTCACCCCATCCTGCTCTGTGCAGCAGATCATAGCTCATAGGCATGAGAGCCAGCAACCTCCAACTCCTGGGCTTAGGCAATTCTTTTGCCTCAGCCTCCCAAGTAGCTGGGACTACAGGCACCCACCATAATGCTCAGCCGATTTTTATTGCAATTTGGCCAGAGCCAGGTTTGAACCCGCCACCCTCAGTATATGGGGCTGGCACCCTACCCACTGTGCCACAGGCACCACCCGCCTGGTGCCCTTTTTGACCAGTAGTGGGGACAGGGAAGCAAGCCACCTGCCCATGTGCTCTGACTGCTTAGTACCTTTATTCCCTTTATCCAGGAAAGCCCCCTCCTACTATAGCCAGTGCCCATCCCGCAGGAAGGTGGGCAGAGCTGGTCAACAGCAGCAGCAGAGAGGTGGGCTAATGTCAGCTCAGTTGTCCCTCTTGCCTCCCAGGCTCTTCCTTTGGGGACTTAGGATCGGCCAAGCTGGGGCAGAGGCCACTGAGCCAGCCAGCTGGGATCTCCACCAACCCTTTCATGGTGAGTGCCCCTATGGTTTGGGGCGTGGGCTTTCACTCTAGAGGGTCGGGACAGAGTCCTTCCAGAAGGGGGTGACAGAAGTTCTGCATTGTCCAAGCCAGCATGGGTGGGTTGGTTCTAGGCCTAGTTATCTCCTCCCCTGCCCCTCTGAGGGCTTCTCTCCTTCACTTTCCTACTTCCCCTTGCACAGCAATTTTGAAGGAAAAAGGAATCCTGAACTGGTTTCTTCTCTGGCCTCCTTTTCTTTAACCCTAATTTAATAATTTGTTGTGTTTCTTTCCAGACTGGATCCTCATCAAGCCCATTTGCCTCCAAACCTCCAACCACCAACCCATTCTTGTAGCACTGTGTCCTCTGGGGCCTCTTCCCTGTGCTGTGGGGCCCCTCTGCCCCAGAGCTTTGGTGACCACTTGCCTGTGGGTCTGAGACCAGCACAGGCCCTGTTCTTCAGGATCAGGGTCTTAGGGATGGTGGAGGTGCTGATGCTTTGCTTGGGGCTTACAGATGAACTGACAGCCCTTCAGTCAGATGCCTCAAAGGCTCCCTTCCTCCCTCCTTCTGCCCCCACCAGGAGGGAGCCCCAGCAGAAGTGATGGTAGGGATGCGTGGAGGAACCATGGCATTTTTTTCAGTTAATAAGCTCTCTTCCCTTCATCCCCAGCCCCATGGGCAGAGGAAGCCATGATACAGACCGACTGGCCTTCTCCATGGGAACAGTTTTTCCCCCATGCCCAGCTCCCTAACACTGTGCTCCATCCATGTGGACAGAGTACAGTGGGGAAAGTATGGTAAAGATGAAGCATGGTGTTGACAGGGACAGTGACCAGATGACTCTGGGACCAAGACCACACTTTCCTCTACCACCTGCCATTGTTTTGCTTCCCCAGTACTCCTTCTGTCCTGGCACTCAGGATGAATAGTTTTACCCATGTACACACAGGCCCAGCTCCTGTCAAGCACTTTAGTTAGCCATTGGTGTCATGTTTGGATACCAGTGTTTTATACTTACACATAGAGAGGATTTTCTAATATAGCCTAATATACATATATATATACACACACACACACACACACGTAACACACATATATATACACACATATCCAGCCATTCTTCTCCCAGACGTCTCCCATCTGTGCCTCAACCATCAAAGCCAGAGCTCCAGGGGTG